CTTAATAAAAATAAAAAAAGCGAATTTTGAAAAATTTGCAACAAAAGTTTTAGGGCTGAATGTAACTTATTTTAAAGTAAACTGACAAACATTCGTGAATTGTATTTAAAATTGCTTCTTAGCGAAACACCGTGAGGACACTGCAGTATGAAACTCTGTAATATTTATACTAAATTTATAGACTGAATCTTATTCTTATGTTCCCTAATAACATAATTTTTAAATATTTTAAAGCATATATCACCAGCAGTTTTTTGCGCTATGTTTTGGAACATATTTATTTCATTTATTTGTTTTTATAATTATAAAATTAATTAATAATTTTATAAATATTATTTATAATTCTAAAACTAAAACCAAAAATGTGCTTTAAGGTTTCCCAGGAAAAATATTTTGCATTTTCTACCTATTATTTCTCATAAATAAATAATTAGTCTCCTTTTCATTATAAATTCTTTTTTTATTTTTATTTATTTATTTATTTATTTTAAATTTGGAAAAGCAGAAATATCTCCCTGTTCGCCAAGGAAGATCACACAGGGCCCTAAGGTATAACAGAAGTACAGCATAGTAACATAAAATTTTTACATGATATTAAAAAACAAAATTAAAAAAAAAAAAAGAAGAAAACAAAAAACAGAAGAATGAGACAAGTTAAGTGACTGAATGGATAAATTTTACAAAAAATTTAAAAGCTTTTCACTAGATCAGTTAAATCAAATCAAAACTTTTTTCACTAGATCAGTTAAAATCGGGGGTCATCTATTATTCAGGTATCTACAAAGATCGTCCCTTTCTTGTGAGACCGCCGGGCATTCTAGGAGAATGTGAAAGGGGTTGTCAATCCCGGAATGAAATCGAAATGAAATCGATGGAGGTAGCTATTGAAGTGTCCGTTTTAATAAATTCACATTAAAATACTTTTTCTAACAGGGTAGTTGAACGATTTAACTAATGAATATAAAAATCCTTAAATTAAATTGAAAGCTCTTTACGAAAATTAAAAATTATATCAATGATATGTTGTTTTTGTTGTCGTAGGCCATTAATGCAAGGCCAAGGGGTGATATTGTTCTTGTTTTCAAGGGCGCCATCTTCTGCCACACCCATACATCACACCCGTTTATAGGGCTGACCCATTCATACTTCCATTCCTTCATCCACAGATCGTAATTTTGACCTGAATCAGAGAAAGATCAATTTCCAATTTAGCATCCCCAGAGGTATATTTTGTCGTGGGAACATAAAGGACTTTCTGACTCGGCAGATTTAACGCGCACCAGTCACCATTTACTACCCGGGGAATCTTCGGCTGGCTGGATTCGAACTCCCTTCTTAACGGGCGTGAGTCCAGCACCCTGCCAACCAGGCTATCCCGGCACCAGATCAATGATATAACACTATCATTCTATTACATAAATAATCCTAAGAAACTAAAACGGTAAAATATTACCTGATTAAAAAAATTTCATTGACAACAAAACTATGCAGATGCTGACAAATATCGACCTATCGATATTTGAGCTGTGCAATTAAAGAAAAATTGACAGCTATTTTCTTACACTTGCTGATGTTTTCATTGCTAAAATAGTAGTTCAGACAACTGATAAAAATATTCTTTTTTTTTTAAAAAAAAATTGCACTATTTAGCTTATAATAGAAAAATGTCGATATTGAATTTTTTGTCGCTTAAGTTGCTTTACTTGAAATCACGAAGACATGTTGAAAAATGTGCAGAGAGTATGGAGGAATAATTAAAATATAATAATAAAAAATAATAATCTGAGAATATTTTAAAAATGCAAAATGCTTTATTCAAGAGAGATGAAAACCATTACACATTTTGACTGCTGAATTGATGTTATTTTATTTTATTTTATAATCGGCGTTGAACTGCCGATCCGATTTTATGGGTTTACGACTACTAATGTTTAACTCCGTAGCCTTGTAACTTTGAACCCAATCCAGAAGACAAAGGAGCTCCTAGATCGAGTATTAGGAGAAATTAGCCTTCGTGGAGGACTTTTTGATAGAGCTAACCCGCATTTGCGTTACATGGAGAGGAATACCAAGAGAACCTCCCACGGTTAGCCTGGCGGCAAGGGGACTCAAGCCCATGATCCGTCCACCACTGAGGATATTTCACGTCAGCATTGAGGTCGGTGCAAGCCGGATGCGGAATTCGAATCGACTGAGATTCGAACCCGGTTCGCCGAATTGGAAGGCGAGCGCTCTATCCTCTGAGCTATCGCGGCTCGCAATTAACATACAGACAGAATGTTTATTGTTCGTGTGAAAAAATATCATTTTTTAAGACGAAAATAAAACAATGATAAATGATCGGTAGGTGAGCGGAGCAATACAAATAAGCATTTTAATGGGAATACTCATCTCAAAAGATTATTAAAAAGTTTTTTTTTTCTTTCTATCTCTCAAGGAAGTTATTCCATTGGTTTTCTTGTGCGTTGTCGTTCTTCCATTTCTTATTAGCTAGAAATCTTATCTGAACAATTTTTTTAAAATAATAATCGACATAATTGAGTATATAATGTTTGTGAATCGTAAAATAAAAGAGAAAGAGTCAAGGTCAAAGGATGAACTATCGCCTAAATGGATATTCTCTGTAATTAAGTAACTTTCTTTGGAAGTGTTTTTACAAAGAAACAATCAATTATCATATGTTTTTTTATACGATATTTTTCAATGACTGCTTACATCCACCAATTTCTTCCTTTTCAATCCATTAAAAAAATTAATTCCTTCTTCATAGCAACAATGAGACAAGGTAAGAAAAGGATTTTCTAATTTGTTAACTATTTCTTATGAAGGAAATAATGTTATAATATATTAAAAGCATAATTGTTTTTAAAGTCTAATAAAATTAGGTTCAGTTTTAACTCATAAAATATTGCTAATTATACAAATATCTTTGGTAGTGTTTTAATCCTTGCTTTTAGTGAATAAATATTGCCAACTATATACATTGATAGTTGGTAGATAAGTTAAGTAAACTTATAAAATTATTGAACTCTGATATAGTGTTCAACTACATTGTAACCTTACTACATTTTTATGCCATTTGCGCTGCTAAAGGAAATTTTGAATTATTTAACAAATTATAATAAACTAGTGGGCTGCGCCCCCTGCTTGCTAACGCTCGCCAACCCCCGAAAATTGCTACACATTCTTATATGGTTTGCTTCGCAAAAGAAGCTCGCTTCGCTCGCTACTAACTTAGGTACATTGCAAATGCATAAAATTCTAAGAATTCAAAACAATCATTCAAATCCATATAACAATTTTTTAAAAAAAAAAAAAAATTACATCTTTTTAGTAAATACTAAGTCATTAAAATAAATTTGAATTCAAATGAAGGACATGTAACTCGTTAAACCTATTAGAAATGTGCTATAGTATAAAATCTTAAGATAAAATTTTTGAAACTGATCTCTTTAAAAAGGTTAAAATTTTGGCTATAATTAAGTCTATTAAAAATTGAAATAAGTGAATTGCAATGGAAAAACCTGCATAAACAAATAAATTCTAGTAAAACAAATAAATTCGTAATATAAATCAAAAATCGTCAAATAAATTCGTAATACATAAATTCGTGAAAAAAGTGCTTTCGACAAAATACTAAAGAAAGAGATCTATCGACGAAGACTACTCACTTCTGCCTAGCTTATGCTCTCTCTGGTTATTTCAGTTTCCGTTTTTAAAAGCGCTATATGTTGAGCTATCTCAGCTAGATTTGGCATGTGACATTTTTAGCGGCAATCATTGGTCGATTTTCTAGCGTTGCCATTCGGGGAGTTGTAATGAGGCTTTTTTTTGTCGCCGTGTAAGAGAAATATATATATAGATTTGAAAAAAAAAATACAAAAGTCACTTTTAATCTTAAACCTTTACTGTTGACTAACTATAGAAAACCAACTAACATTGGTGACCAGCTTAGTAACCATTACGAATTCACCGCCTCGTGGCTCCTCATTGCCTGCTATTGCATGGCGTTTTGGTATTACGACATTTCAATAAGTAATAAAAATAATAAAGTGCAACTATTCTGTATTCTTAATTTCAGCTCCTAGTTTTGTACGATCCCCTAAAAATTGTAAAAAAATTGAAATGCATTAGTCGGAAACCTGATACGGCAGATATTAAATTCATATAAAAAAGGAAAAACAGTTGATTTTACACGGACCCTTCATAATACAATTTATATGGTTTACAGGTTGTACTAGTGTCCATAAAGTAATAGGAAATAAAAGATATTTCACAAAATATTTTTTCTGTTAATTTTTACACCTCTGGGAAACAATTAACTCATTTATTACATAAAAGCTCAAATCTTTCTTCATTGTCCTTTAGAACTCTACGCAAACGATTGAGAAACTTGTTACAGATACAGCTACTAGTTACAGCTGGCAAGCACTGCTTCTTGAGGAATTTGGATCCCAAATCTGTATCAAACGCTTTTTGAATTTTTCGGCAGTTATCGCTTTCGTACTCTCAATCCTTAAGCACCTAAAATAATCAAATGAATTATTGCACAATATGATTCTTCAAACCATATAAAGCAAATAACAGATATGTATTTTAATAATTAATTAATTAATTAATAGCAGACAAAAAAATTTTTTGCATTAAATTATTAAAGGAAATATGTTCATATGTTGTACAGTTGTTGTCCTTACCTCGTATTTAACTTTGTGTAAGGGGCATTTTTTTATGAAAGAGGAAGGTTGTTGGGTTTGATGGTATCACAAGAAAAGAAAAAATCTAGAATAATGTATAAATTTCTAGAAGAATTTCTTTATATCCTAAATTTCTGAATAGCTTAAATATGATTAATTACATAATCAAAATCGAACAAAATAGTTCGTTAAACTAGTAACTAAACAAAGTACATGTCTCAATTTTATGTATTCATTAATTAATGAATCAAAAAACAATCTTGCCCGTACGAAATTATGAATACAAGTTGTTCTTATGTTGTACAGGTGTTGCCCTTTTGACGTGCTTAACTTTGTGTGAGGGACATCTTTTTATGAAAGAGGAATGTTGTTGGGTTTGATGGCATCACAAGGAGAAAAAAATCTAGAATAATTTTTAAATTTCTAGAAGAATTTCTTTATATTCAAAATTTCTGAATAGCTTAAATATGATTAATTACATAATTCAAATGACACAAAATAGTTCGTTAAACTTGTAACTAAACGAAATACATGTCTCAATTTTATCTATTCATTAATTAATAAAGCATAAAACAATCTTGCCTGTACTAAATTATAAATACAAGTTGTTCTTATGTTGTACAGGTGTTGCCCTTTTGACTTGCTTAACTTTGTGTGAGGGACATCTTTTTATGAAAGACGGATTCGTCGGTATTGGTCTCGACTTAAAAAAACTTGGTATCTCTGGTAGCTGTCCAGATTCTGTTAACGCAACTTGTCCATGCGGCATCAAAGAAACTCCCATTAATGTACCCGTTTCTGTGTAAGTAATTTCTCTTTTCAACCCTTTAAGTCCCTACCTTCAATCACCATGCTAAAATTTTAAACTATTAATTACATCATTCAAATTGTTATATCTAGATTTTTTTAATACAATGTTACAATTTAAAAAAAACTTTCTCTATAGGATTGTTTGTGCTCCTGATAATTTTTAAAAAATTGACTTAATCCTTCTCGCTTCCATGAAAATGACGGAGTGAGGTTTCGCCCTCTATTTCTCGCCCCCGTGATATTTCCGGGGCTGGAGTGTTCAGTAGTAACGCGCCAATAAGAATATAACTAATTAATTTCCTTCGCCCGGAAAACATTTTATTTCTTATTTTACATACCAGATATGCAGTACCAGGACTTTTTTAAGGTAATTGTAGATAGTTAGTTTATTTTAAACTAGATGTCAGCACTAATGAAATACGTGTGTTTGTGATTGGATAAAAAAAATAGGCACTTTTATGACGGTTTTCTTGAAAATTAACGGATCGTTAAGAGGCTAAATTAAAAGTACAATATATTCTTCATAGCTTCACTTTGATAGTTTCGCATTTTCACTCATATCTGAGAACAGGCTTAGAAATGTTTTCTGATGGAGATGATCTGACAGGTTAGAATAATTTAAAAAAATCATATTCTCCATTTCTTGTTCAAACCTAGGATGTCTGTACTTTTACTTTATGTTTTAGTTTATATTGTATAATTTTGCCAATTCTCAATAATTCGGCAATAACTAAAATTGAACATGTTAACTCAGCAGTATGAATAAATATAATGAGCATCCTTGAAATAGCACTAAATATAATTATTTCTCCATCATTAGATGACAAAAGTTTTGACAAAATAAGGGTTTTTGCCAAGACATATTTCTAACACAGATTGAGGTGATAAGATTAAAGTAGAACTTTAAATCTATCATCTGATTTTAAAAATTATTATTGTTTCGTTTATGTGTTGTTTTATTGAAGCGCTAGAGCATAAAGGGTTAAAAAGAATATAAGTATTTAGAGTTCTAATCAATATTAAGAAGTCGCTAATATTTATCTGGTTTAGAATAAAGATAGTTAAATCTACTTGTAGATCTAAATTAAGGCTAATTTGTCGGGACTATTAAAAATTTCACACCACTGGAAAACCTATTAATTTAAAAAAACGAGGTAACCGATTTCATAACTTAAGTTATCGCTTATGCTAATTAATTAGCATATTCATGGTCTGTCCCTTGCATCTTAAATCCAACCGTAGAACCAATTGTGATTCAGGGTGTTTTGCAGTTCAATTAGTCGACCCATGAATCATGGATTGTTTGTATTTTTCCTAAAAGCGTAGCATCCATTTTTACAATCGTGAGCAAACCTTTTATTTACGTTTAGTAAATACTAGCTGAATACCAGTTCTTTTCACGGGGAGAGTAAAAAAATAAATAAAAAATAAATAAATCAGTATTGAGAAACACTACGAAATCATGCTCAAAATTGAAAATCATATAATGATCCAATGAAAGAACTTGGTGGAAGAACTAGGTAAGTGAAATTTTCAGGGGAATTAATAAATCAGAGAAAATAAAAAAGTAGTTGTATCAATACGGATATGTTTAATGTTACAGAACTGCTTTTGCCTTTACTCAAATCTTAAACGAACTATAATTATATCAGTTTTCTGTATGGTTGCATGATTTTTATTTCAAATTAGGCAGGGGTAAATAAATAAAAACAAGGAACATTTGTCCCTCTTTTTAATAAATTGGTAATAAAAAAGTTTGAATGTAATTTTTTTAAGCTCTGAAAATGTAACTTACCTGGTTCTTCCACTAATTTTTTCAAGTAATGTAGTTAAAATAATTAAAATTTTCTTATTTAATATTAATTGTTAAACTTTTTGGTGGCTTTGCTTTATCATGCAAAGCTTTATCATGCAAAACCCGTTTTTTGTAGTTGTTGTAGTAGTTGTAGTACTTTGTTCCCATTAGAACAAAGATAAAATGTATTTAGTATCACTTCGCATGATGCTATTGCACTATCAAGTAATTTTCTAAGGTACATATCCCTTTCGAGTACCGTAAAACGCTTATTTCCAAAGTATCAGTATGTACTACTAAGTATTGGTGATGTCTTAATAATCATCAAATATACCAATATGATATTTAATGCCTTGATTAGTATATTTTGAACATATTACATAACCCTTCAACATTTAACTTTTGTGAAAAATACATTTATCAGTGACAGCCAACAAAAACCGAATTTAAAAAAAAAATGAAATAGAATTCTTATTAGAACTTGATAAGATTTTTGGAGCGTGCGCGTTTCTCTATCTGAACCTTTAATTTACTATTAAAATATGTATAAGTAGTAAAGAAACAAAATTCTTTATATTCTAATCCATTAAAATATTAATACACTATCTTTGCTACCGCTGAAAAAAATAACTTCTGAAATTAAGAAAAACCCGTTGTAGAATTGTTATCAAAACTGCACCAATTACCATAATACCAGTAGAACATATTAACGTCAGTAGAGCACAATAAGTAAGCGTCATCCGTAAATGGCGATTTTCTACTGTTTTCCTAAACAAATTTCCTATTTAACTTTTTTCCCCTTTAAATTCGCTTTTTAGCACATAACTTATTTTGTTTTATTTCAATTAATTCATATTATCAGTAGTAATTAAGCATTAGTGTCAATAATAATATCGTGATTTTTTACGGCTCCCCAAAATGAATAAGTATACAGTCTCCATTATTTTTGTGTTCCGCAGTGGACTGATCGTTAAGACACGGTTCCCAGCAGATCACCGAAGTCAAGCATCACTGGCTGCGGTCAGTGTGCGGGTGGGTGACCACTTAGATCAGCCTGCATAGGAACCGTGGGTGTGCGGTATTGGTCCTCGTTAATCTGTTCTACCGTAAAGTGCTCGACTTCGCGTGCTGGTCGTCAGGCTACTGAAGCGGGGGTGCCATCCCCTCTGCAGAGGATCAAAATTGAGATGGCATGTCTTCGGATCATTCTCAGGGATGTTTCCCAGACAGTCGTCGTCCCGCAGTGGACTGATCGTTAAGACACGGTTCCCAGCAGATCACCGAAGTTAAGCATCACTGACTGTGGGTGGGTGACCACTTGGATTAGTCTGCGTAAGGACCGATGGTGTGCGGTATTGGTCCTCGTTGAACTGGTCTACCGTGAAGTGCTAGACTTAGCGTGTAGGTCATCGGGCTACCGAAGCAGGGTTGCCATCAACTCTGCAGAGGATCATAATTGTGATGGCATGTCTTCGGATCATCCTCAGGAATGTTCCCCAGACCGTCACCAATAGCCCATTGTGCAGCTCTAGTGCGATGTAAATTAACTACAACAACCCAGACAGTCGCCAATAGCCCATTGTGCAGTTATAGTGTAACGTAAATGAAGTGCAATAATCTCTGTGNTGGTGGCATTTTGGGCAAAGAGGGTAGGATTTTATACCCTGAGAAAAAGTAAGACATTTTAGATGTCCACTGGCAAGGCGTGAAAGGCAAGTATTGGTTTTTTTGTCGCATGGAAGAATCAACGACTGTCCTGGCTTATTAGCCTTATACCAATCATGAGTGGGAGACTTCGACCAAATCCTCCTATTTAAGTTTTTCATCTGAGAAAAAAGTTCTAGGTAGGTAAGTTCATCAGATGCAGAAGTTGGCAGGCTGCAACCGTCCTTTACTAGACAGTCTGCCTTCTCGTTACCAAATAGATCCACATGGGATGGGATCCACTGGAAATGACTACCATTGAACTTCGGCTATCATGTAGAGTTTAATGATGCAATATAGCTGGAAGAGACTATATTGCGTCATGACGACATGACGTATTGAGATTTGTTCTGAAACAAAAGATGTATGAAGCAAACATTTGTACGAGTGACAGAGTAAAAGATCATTATACGATTTCACGGGGTCGAGGACAGGTGTTTACGCTGAAGTAGACAATTATATAAAATAACTGATTATTGGGTAGAACGATAAATAATATATTTATAAAATAATATATTTATGGTATAGATTTTATACATTGGCACAACTTCAACAAATGAATGAACTCAAGAATTGAATAAAATTAAATAAAATTAGTTGTAATGCAGAAACAATACAAAATCCGTTATTTCAATATGTAGCGTGTGTGTGTGTGTTATGTTCAACTCCGTAGCCGTGCAATTTTGAACCCAATCCAGAAGACAAGGGAACTCCTGGATCGAGTACCAGGAGAAATTTTGCCATAGTGGAGGACTTTTTGATGGAACTAACCCCCATTTGCGTTACATGGAGACGACGACCACGAGAATCTCCCACGTTTAGCCTGACTGCAAGGGGACTCTAACCCATGATCCATCTACCACTGAGGATATTTCACGTCAGCACTGTGGTCGGTGCAAGCCGGATGCGGAATTCGTATTGACTGGGATTCGAACCCATTTCGCCTCATTGGAAGGCGAACGCTCTATCCTCTGAGCCATCGCAGCTCCATGTAGTGTGTTTAGCGAAAATTTTGAGAGCTGTCCAAAAGATGTACCCCTTGGAAATAACTTCCAAAGAAGCTATGGTAAATGATTTATGCACCAAGGCAAAGAAGATCGAACGTAGAAAAGTACAGTCAAAAGAGAAAGTTGGGAAAATATATAACAAATGAGACATCTGTGACACAAGAAACTCGTTTGATCGTGTGATCAAGAAATCAGAGAAACTGATTTTGTGATTTTATACGTTTTTTAACTTAAAATGTTTTATTGTTATTTTTTGGTTAAATCCTAAATGTTTAATCTAACTCTTACTCGTTTTCATTTCCCATCCAAAGATTACCAAGTTAATTGTACAAGTGCAAACGACTCGCTTTAGTTTATTTATTTATTTTTGTTCCCATAACAACGATTGCTTTTGGTGTTCTAGAAGTTTTAATGCAGTATTAAGTTGTTAACTTTTTAATACGTAGTTACATTATCGGGGCCAAGAATTTTTTTCGATTTTGATATGATAAATGAGTAATTAACAATTATAGTAATTTATTTGAAAAGCATAATTTTTTTTAGCTAATGTACCATTTCATTGGTATGGCACAAATATTGTTTTCTAGATAAAACGCCCGGTGGCTGAGTGGTAGCGCTTCTCGCTCCCATGCCACAGGTCCTGAGTTCGATCCTCGGGCCGGGCAATATTGACTGACTACCTAACCGGAACATCTGCTCATGCACTCCCTAGCCCAAAGTTAAGAAAACTGAGATGGGCACAGTAGGCCTTGACCCTCTATGGGCTGTCGTTCCACTGAGTTTAGAGTTTAGATAAAATATTCAATAAGTCCAATAACATTAGGATTTTTATAACAGTTGTTATTTAAACAAGAAATTTGTCGTAAAATGAGTTGTTATTATATAATAAAATAAAAAGTAAAAAACTATGTTTTTCTTAGCAAACTAAAAAAGAGAAAATAATTTTATTTTTTGATACACCTAAACCAATCATTTTCCGAAAGACGTTGATGAGAAATGTTTCTTAGCATCATAAACAGAACTCTATTTAAAATTTGAGAACTCTAGCTGATCTAAAAGTGATCAAAATAGCGTTTGCCGGTAAAATTTATTCGATTACACAAATTATAAAGTGTAGATGTCAAGAACTAACAACAAAACTAGCATAGCCACCCTATACACAGCTCACTTTCAACATTTTAACAAGTTTGAAAGCGGTCGAAATTTAGACGCTCGATAAATTCTTTTTGATATAATACTACGGTTATTAAATCTGCATCAGATACTAGGAAATGAATGAAAAATTGAGATATCATGCAGTACGGAGCTTCATTTATAATGTAAGCACTCTGGCTAATCGAACAGTAGTCTAAGTTTCAATTGACCATACATTTCTTGTAGTAATAATATAGCGATAAATTCTGTTGGTGATGAAGTTTTTTGGAAATTAATATAATTAAATTTGCCATCAGGATGTAAGCTCTAAATGATGAGCTCTTGTTTTTAGGAAAGTGGTAGGAATTTTTACGAGCGATCAATCACTTTACGATTATATGGTTATAAATTCAGATTAAAGAGATCAGGAAATAATCGAAACTGGAATTTTCGTCAAGCAAGGAGTTAACCTTATAATATGCGCACTCTACTAATACGTCAGAAGGTGGTCGGAAGTTTAACTATAGGCAATATTTTCGGGATAAATTCTGCTTGATGTGGTAGGGAAATGATTAGAAATAATATTATAATTTAGCATAGAGCTTTAGTCAATATTTAGTGTTCTACCCAGTCTTAACAGGGTCGGAGAATTTTTTATTGGCTATTGATGGTAATATCGTGATAAATTGTGCTGTCAACGACCGGGAAATGATTGAAGTTTGCATTGGCGTTGGGCGTGAAGCTTCCGTACTCTACCTAGTTGGGAAGTAGCTCGCATTTTAACAGCAGGCTTCCATCGACAGAAACATTTATTCCTTCAGATTCTATCGCAAAGCACGATTTCATCAAGTTAATAAAAATTTAGTAAAATGAAAATGGTATTTTTAAGATAAGAATATATAATTTTTTTTAAAAATATATTTTTAAATATATTTGTAGAAATAATTGAAACAAACTCTTTTTAATCTAATTTTTTGTAAAGTTGTCTATAATTTATACTTTTAACTAAAATTCTATTCATTTCAGTCTTATTATTAACATATCTTTAGCTCAAATATCGCATCCTATTAAAAAAACTAAATTTTTAAAAAAAATTCGTGCAAGCGAGAAGTTTCTAACACGGAGAAAGAAAGTGAGATCGGTGAGAAATGTCGCCACGTATGGCAGCTCATTCCGCTGTTTTTCTTTACGTAACACAAAAGTTTCGAACAATTTTGAAGTTATTGTCATAACTCTCTAAAGTTAGGCAGAGAAACTCTAAAAGTAATGTCAAAAACAACTTTTTATTTGCAGCTATTGAAAAATTGCACCTATTACACTTTTCGAATTTTTAACTGATCTCTATATAATGCATAGGTATCACATAAATGCATTTACCTTATAACATATACTTATATGATTATAACCTTAGAATTATTGTAAGTCAGATGAAAAAAATTTTGAAAATAATTATTTTCCTATGTTTTAGCTTGCACTTGTGTGAATGGAGGAACATGTGAACGAGATGGTAAATGCACTTGTCCGGATGAATATCATGGCCGAAACTGTGAAGTTAAGAAAGGTAAATACTACATTTTATTGTAAATTTATAAAACGATGGGTAGTTTTGACCAGAGCACACAGCACACATTAATTAATGTTCTGATAGCAACACCAAGAAAGAAATATCACACAAATTGAACGAAATTAGCAGAAAATGTTAAATCTAGCTAAGAGATTACATTGTGTCCGGAAAGTAATATCACTGAATTAATTGTAAAGCATATACGCGTTCCAGTACACTTAGGATGGTTATAATATGTGAAGGGAACAGTCAGCTTAGCTTTTGCATGCGTCAACACTAAATGATCGTTTTTGAATTGAATTGCCATTTTTTGAAACGCGTTTTTTATCTCCTGTGCAAGCTGTCACTCAACACTCGATGGATTGCTGTCATGTTTTTGTGAAACACAGAGATTTCACGTGGTAAAGACGGCCTTTAGTGATGATTGGTTGTCGAAATGCCTTGTCTACCAGTAGCACAGGCATTTTTTTTTTGTCAGGAATATGTCAGCAATAAAATTCGCGCAGGAAACCTAAAAAGGACTCCCACCGACGAAAATGTGACGTATTCGTATGTATATAAACGTATATGTTCCTTACACACTTATACATTCTGACATAAAATAAAATGAAACAAAAATATAATTTGGAAAAAATATATAGCTAAACTAATTTCAGATTTAAATGTCCTACACCCGAATTAGATAAGATAGCCGACCGGCTTGTGTTAGGGAACTGCCCTTGCATCAGAAAGGTTCTGGGTTCAAATCCCAGGAAAGGCATGGATGTTCTTTCCTTCTCTGTAATATCTGTCTTTACTGTGGGATCAACGTTGGCCCACATAATATGGTGCCTCAGAAAAAGTGGCCAACAAATCTGCCCTTCAGATGCCTGTATGACGTAGGTCATTCCCCAGGCGGGCATTGGAGAAAAAAATTTAGATAAGATGCGTTATGCAACAATTAATTTGTTCCCCAGTGCAACTTGTCACTCCTGCAATTTTGATATCATATTGCATCCTTTACTACAATGATTTTGACTAGACTATTGCTTCTCAACAAACAGGATCGAAATAGAATATATAGCTGTTTTTTTAGACGAAATTCCATCTTCATACATGCCAATGTTTCGACCTTGATCAAATTACAGATTTTGATCAGATCATAATTAAATGTTTTCTTGTAAGTAAATCCCGATGTAGCGCTTCCAAGGCACCTTAACATGTCTTCAAGATCTGTTACAGTATATCTATCTGTTATAGAATAGTTAGGTATAGATTGACTTTTTTGACTAATAGGCAGTCAATTAATCTGAAACTTTAACATTTTTTAAGTCTTAGTCTGTTTATTATTTTCTGTGCATTGAATTTAGTTTAAACAGTTCTTTCTTTCTTGGTTAGACATTATTTCATGTTAAATTAATTCTCTTTATTTTTATAAAGGTTGCAACCCCCCTGGTCCAATTATGCACCCAGTACAAGTTTTGCTCAGTCCTCCCAACATGCCGGTGACAGCCGTTTACAGTTGCCCTGAAGGTTACATATTGAAAGGATCAGCCATCAGCACCTGTCAATCGAATAAAAAGTGGTCCAGCAACCCACCAGTTTGTTGTAAGTTAATTGAAATTGACATAAAGTATTTAAATCACAAATATTTGTGTGCTATAATAAATTTAAATGGTTGTGAAACACATTAATATAATCATTAAATATGTAAGGAATGCAAGTGGAATTCAGAAAGGTATTAAAAATTGTGTTAAAAGAAAGCATTCTAGAAATCTTAATTTTTTTTGAAGTTATGAGCAAGACAAGAAAAGGGATGGGGTCGTCCACCTGGAACAGTGTAGCCTATTCCTGAATTACCGTCATGTATATTTTTCGCCATTGCTGATGATTCGAATATATGTGGTATTTCGTAATGTCTATCTCTTAATATATGTTTTTAGAATCTTTATCAAAAATGAAGTCATACTCATTAGGAGTCATAACGCTATCAAAATCGAACGAATATTAGTTAGAATTAAAAACACCAATAACTGACTGATTGCCAGACGTGAAGGATAAGAGAGTTTAAATGTGATTATTGCAAACGTACTTATTATTACTTCGTTTTTAACAGGGATTCATAAAATACATATTCAGGATGCTCATTACGTAAAAAAATGTTTGTGTCATCTTCAGATTTTTCACTGCAGAATCCCGTACGTGCGGAATTCGTCGTTTTGAACAAATTTTCTGCAGTTACATTGCAAATTTTGGTATGGTGTTTGATTGCATCATGTCAGCTCACCTGATTAGCCTGCAACTGGGCCGGGATAGCCTGGTTGGCAGGGCACTGGACTCACGTTCGTGAGTCCAGTGCCCTGCCAACCGGATTTTCAGTGAATTCAGTCGGATCCAGTCGACCGAATCCAGTTCGAATCCAGTCGACCGAAGACTCCTCGTGTAGTAAATGGTGACTGGTGCACGTTGTTAAATCTGTCAGGTCAGAGGTTTGGTATTCAAAATCAAGCATTTGATTCCATTGAAATTTAAATGTTCTGCCTGCTTAACATTTTAATATAATCAAAACTGTAAACATGTTTCCGCAGCTCCAGCGTGTCCTCTGCTAAGTGCACCAGCCAATGGGAAACTGACATTTTCAAGTAATGAGCTGACTGAAGGTGTCACAGCTGAAACAGTCTGCAACCCTCACCACCGTCTCATTGGTGAGCAAGTTCTGACGTGTTTAAATGGTGGACATTGGAATGAAGAGTTACCTGTATGCGGTACGTAAGAAACATGATATTTTAAGTTATCTAAATTTTCTTAATTTTATGTTCATTTTATATTTTCTAATAAGTATTGTCAAAAATTACTTTCAGTTAGGTCCAGATTTATCTGCTTTTATCCTAGTTTATTTATTATGAGATAAACTGGCAGAGCTCACCGATTCGTTTAGCAAAATTAGTCAATTTTATTAAAACAATCACACCTTGACTTATTTAAATGCAATTTTCGGTAATATATATTAAAAAACATAAAACCAACATAAAATTAAGTCAATTTAGATAAATAAAAGTACCAAACCAAATCGTATGAATAGACAATCCATAAAAGGAAAGTACCCCTAGCTGCGTGCAAGAACAATTCCGGTCATGAGTGGGATATGTCATTCTTAATCCTTATAATGTACCTTACTTCCCCTCCAAGTTTAAACACGAAGTTTCGAGACACTCTGTGCAACCTTTACGAACTTCGGCAATTTTTTTCTGAATTCCAACATAGCATTATGTCTTGTAAGTGCAAAGATACATGTCTCATCGTCTTGCGGCTTCTTTTCGTTTTATCGCATAATGTCTCTCCTGTCACTCAAGCCCTTAGCAACACAAGCACGAATGATTACCTAGTTCAAATGATAAAAAATACTTACAAACATATTACTAAATTCCACTGGATTAAAACCCACAAAGGATATGAGGGCAATGAAGAAGCTGATTGAGAGGCCAAATTAGCTTGTCAAAAATCAACAATAGATCTATATGACGTACCATCAAAACAAACAACAAGAACAGAACTTATGAGGAATAACCTTTCAACATGGCAGCAAGGATGGGATAATAATGATACAAAGGGTCGACACACTTACCAATTTATCCCAAAAGTCAGTAATCGAAAAATCTGCTCCTACTTCTATATCAATCAATTTCTAACTAACCATGGAGCCTAAGGTAGTTATCAGCCAAAATTGTTCGGGAAAGACCCGAAATGTAAAGTTTGTAAAAGTTATGAAGATATCGAACACGTATACTTACTTTCTGTCCAGTTTATGATGATTTAAGAATTAAATTTCTCCCGAGAAATTTCAACTTAGATACCATTAAAAGAAACTGGAACCAAACGAAAATAAACAAAGGAATTGAAGAGAATTTTAAAAGACTTTTTGAAAACAGAATTGAAGATCTGGCCTAAACCGATCCTTCAACAGTATTCCCTGGATGCCTCGAATGGGGGGCGGGACAGGGTAAAGCCGAACTATCGCAAAATGTGCATTAAAAACAACATGGCATTATTTCTCGACTCTACATAATTTCTGCTAGAGATGAGTTTGGGCAAGTTTTTGGAGGCCAGAGTCCACCCGAACCTGAGATCCAAGGGATCATTTCGATTCCAAGACTTCCGACGTTCAGCCACGTTTGTAAGATTAATATCAAAATTCGTGGAGATAAAAATGGGGAAGAAAATTTGAGACAGATTAGTTATATCGTTAAAGATATTCAGATTATGAGATATAGCGCTTTAGATTTTTTTTAATATACTAAATAATGCTTACAATATAAAACTTTAAAGTGAAACCATCGGATTTTCAAGTGCTTGTTTAGTTTGAGAGGAGTACAAGAGTAGGAAAAGTTTATAATGAGCCCGAATCCGAAACGCAGAGTAAGCTCAGGATTCCAGTCTCATCTCTAGTCATTACTAACATCCGCAGCCTACTGAAAAGTCTAAAACAACAAATCGTGTAAAATTTGTGGACGGTCCGTCTGTATCGGATTTTCACGATTTAAGAATTGTTATTAAGTTTTGTCTTTATTTAATATATAGTACTTATCTCTATAGTGTTTGATTATCGTAAACTTTCACTGAAAAATCAACATATAATTAAATCCGTTTCAACATATAATTATGTATATGTATTAAAATTAAAACCGGGCATGAATGTACGAAATTTCAGGTGCGCATGGATATGTTGGGATTATTTAAAATAGCATTTTCAATTATGCAAGCAATATATTTATTCATTTCTGTTTTTTTATAGAGAAATTGGCCTTCTGTCCGGATCCTGGAGACGTGAGAAATGCAGCTAGAAAAGTTCCTCCAGAATCAGTCAAGATAGGCGGGCACTTTTTGCAGGATAGTAGAATCAATTATAAATGCAGAATCGGATATGAGCAGATGGGATTCGCCACGATTCTGTGTCTCTTTGACGGAACATGGTCCGATGAATTGCCGTCTTGCATAAAAGGTAATGCGATTCGAATCTATCTAAATATCAAAAGCTTAGAGAATAAAATTGCTCTGCATTTTAAGTTGTTTACATTTACATTTTAATTACATTTACTGCTACGTATAGTGTGGCTTTCAGGAGAACTCCTAAAGACATCAGTCTCGCGTCATGGCGGGTACCATGGTTACGAGGGAAAGTCACTTCGAACAGGGGTGTGGAGTGAATAGTTTTGTCGTGATCTTTGCATAGGTCAGCGCGAGTAAACCAATCGACACCTTCATTTCTCCATTTCACCTCCATTAGAAATGTACTCTCGCTTGTTACCGTTACCATAGCAGCAGACAGCCCCAGACGTTTCATCTGGAGGAGTTCTCTTCAAAGCCACATTATACATACTACTACATATTTGAAGTTTACTGCTGTTGAGTAATAAAGCTCAAAACTATTTTATTATTATGTCAGTAGCTAGTGTGTAGTGAAATTTACTCTAAAATCTGGATATTTTAAAAGAATTGATAAAAAAAAATGAAAATAACGTGGAAGCAATTTTTGTTAGAAAATAGACAAAATCATATTTTTAGGAGAAAAAAAAACACACAATATATATTTTCTCAATTTTTCTTAAATATATGAGTTTCCATTGAAAAGTAAATTTTCGTTATTTGGAAGATTTTATTCACCAATTCTTTTCAACAATCCACTAACTTCCACTGACTTACCCGAGTTCTTTATTGAGTGGTATACTTCTTATCATTTCCGTAAACTTATAAACAAATAACAAAGCGTTTCGTAAGGAATCTTTATAAAAAATTAAAATTCTTTTAGAACCTTTATCGAAAATGAAGACAAAAAAGATGGACATCGAGGATTGCAAATTATTATTCAATTGAGAAAGATACAAAAAAAAGCTATCACAATTAAAAAAGGTGGGTGTACAGAACACCAAAACCTGTTGGATTGCAGTTTGAAACGTGAGGATACTTCTGATAATCGTATCTCAACTCGTGTCTTTCTTTCCATAATGAAATAGTTTCTGGTGTTTCGTAAAACCACTTTCTTCACTGTAACTTCACCACCAAATGAACTGTAACTAAACTAAACTAAACTGTACTAAACTTAACTGTAACTAAACTGTAACTTCAACTGTGAAACAGATCGCAATAGCCTTTTTTTCCGACTAAATATTAATTTACTACCCCGAATATGTATATTTTTTGCTTGTTTTTAAATTTTGTTGAGCATTTTCAAAATATATATTAACCCTTTAATGGGTCATTTATTTCTAGTAAAGGTAAATTAAAGTATTTTTGGAATTGAAATTGTTTTAAGAATAGTAATCGATACAAGAAAAACAAAACTAATTTAGTTTTTAAAAATGCCATTTTTTGGTGGTAAATATATTTAACACCACCTATTAGGAACTTACTGATTTTTATTTTTCTTTATTTATAAAATAAATTCTATAAATGCTACAAACTTCAAAAGGAATTATGTATTTCGTAACTTTTATGCGCTTTTTTGAACTAACAAATGGTTACCAATTTTATTCAAACGCACTTCAAGAAGGCTGAAGTTATTAACAAATGGAAACCTAAATTAAAAGTGGTGGTAAGTATACTTCCCACGGCCTTCGAAAGGGAGTTCACAAAGAAACAACGTGTAGATTTTACTCGATTATTAATATACAGTTATTTGAGAACTTAAACTCATTAAGCATGTGTGGACTCATTATTTTGCTGAATGTATTACCAGTTGATGATTATGATCCATGTAAGTAAGGATCCATTATGGGAGAATTTTTATGCTTATAAGGGACTGTTTTAATTTTAAGTAACGCTTGTTACAGCTGTTGCCATTAGTACATAAAGTTCCACATTTTATTATCTAAAATATTCTTTACGAAAGTTTATCTTACTCTCAGTTTCATTACATGGGGTTCCTGTTAACTAGCGAAATAGAAAAGCCATTATTTTGATTAAATAATCTCTATGAACAGCTCATAGATGATGCTTCATTTGAGAACCCAGCAGTTTAGAAATTGGTTCAAAATTGCAAAGTCATATTTTTATCTGTTTTAAAAATTTCAAAACATTGTGTACGTTAAGTGTTTTCATGGTTTTGGACATCGTGTCAAACATCTAATCTAAGAAAACTTTCTTAGATCTCGCTATGAAATAAAATGGGCAAGTGTGCTCAACAAATTAATTAAATCGGTATAAATACTAAAGTAAATTGAAAGTATTACAATTTACATTAAATAGAAATAAATTTTTGCATTTTACGTTAGGCCGCGATAGCCTGGTTGGCAGAACGCTGGACTACCGTTCGCGAGAACGGGAGTTCGAATCCAGCTGGCTGAAGACTCTCCGTGTAGTAAAATGGTGACTGGTGCATGTTAAATCTGTCGGTCATAAAGTCCTCCATGTTTCCATAACAAATTATACTTTCTGTGTACTGAATTGGAGATGAATCATTCTCTGGTTCAGGTTAAAATTACGATCTGTGGATGAGTGAATGGATGTATGAATGCGTCCGACCTATAAACGAGTCCGACCTAGAAACGAGTGTGGCGTATGAGTGGGGCGGAAGTCGAATTCTTGGTCATAGATGCTGGCGTTCCTGAGAAACAAAAACAATAATTCCTTAATAATCGACGACAACAACAACAAGTTACGTTTTTCAGATAGACTGAAAATAAGAAAATAATTCAAATTTTGTCAAACTTAAAACAAAAAACATAGGGTGCATCTCTTTCGAAAGGCTCAAGGTCAATTTTCAATGGTGATAGAGGTTAATTACTAAAGGGATGCGCATCATATTTTTCATTTTATATCTGTCAGAAATAAAATCCTCTCCTTCATTTTCGTCTACTTGAGAAACATAGCTTCTAAATTTTTCATTTTATTTCATCTCTTTTATTCTTTTTAGGAATGATTTTAGATTGTATTGGATTCAGGCTCTCCTGTCCTGAGCATTATAACTAGAGATAAGAGGTCGAAATTTTTATTGTTGATAAATTTTAATTAGCAATAAAATGGCTAAATAAATTATACTTGTGGAGAACGGGAACGATTAAAGCTTGTACTGTCATCCAGCAAAGTTCCTCAGTTCAGTTTTGAACCTTGTAACTAGCCGGAAAGGGGTCGAAAATTAAATCGACGCCTATACATGGTGAACAATTTTACTTCCTTAAATGATTATTTTCTTCCAGCATACAGCTTCCGTTAAAATTTAAGTATTCTAGTTATTCTTTGTTCAGTGCGAACTGAGAGTGTCAACATAAAGGTTCCCTGCTTATCGGTTCCTCGATGCGTCAGTGATTCTTCTCTTACTTGCCATTGATCAGATTAGAAGCGCTTGTCATAACTTTGACTGCGAAAGCCAAAAGAAATACGAAGTTTCCGGTAGTTTTATTTATTTTCCCAATCACAGTTCTCACTGAACAGAGTATAACCGGAAAGTGGCTTAAGTTCTAACTGCAAGGTTCCAGAATAATAAGAAAATTCCAGTTCATAGCACGTCCCCACGTGTATAAATTTTCTATCAGATTTAAAATTATACCTACAAAAGAAATATTAAATTAAAATTAAAAAAATATATAAAATTGTGCCTACAAACGAAATGTATTTTTTTTCGAGCTAAGCCAAATCGTAGTTTTACGGCCTAGTTATGTTTTATCCTTTTAATTAGAAATATTTGAATATTGCACTAATCTATATAAATTTACTTTAATTTTTGTAGTTTCGTCTCTAAAAACAGACTGCCTCACAAAAGGATCTGAAATTGTTTCTGAGCCAGGGGTTCCGGTCAGGTTAGTTACATCTACGCCTTCTAGTTGCTTCAATAAAATACATGTTTTGAATTATATTGAAAGTGTGAGGTTTCTTTGAAAAGTAAATATATATTAGGTGCATCATTACACTTTATTGCGAATTACGGCAACTCTGGCTTGCACCTTAAAAATTTAGTTTTCTTTCTGCAGTTTGTTAAACATTTCTACACCAAGTTTATTTCATGTTTGCAATGGCTGAAGTTCATTTTTAATACCTCTAAAGGGAAAATAGCTTATTTAGAGATCATAGTAGGATTACTAGTTTAGCGTTCGTTGCGAGAAACCATTTAATTGCCTTTTATGAAATTTAAAATAATTCATCACGGTAAACTAATTTATACAATAGCAGAGTGTCGAATCCACCTGCCCATTAAAAAACATGTCCAGTTTATACTAGATTCCAATTGGAAATGTGGAACAGCTGTAAGAGAAAGGATTAAAATGGTAAACTATTTTTTACAATAGCAGAGTGCCGAATCCACCGGTGCAGTTAATATTAGATTCCATATGGAAATGTGGAAAGAGAAAGGATTAAAACGGTAAGCTAATTTTTACAATAGTAGAGTGCCGAATCCATTTGTCCATTAAAAACATGCCCAGTTTATATTAGATTCCATATAGAAATGTGGAACAGCTGAAAGAGAAATGATTAAAACGGTAAACTAATTTTTACAATAGCAGAGTGCCGAATCCATCTGTCCATTAAAAACATGTCCAGTTTATATAAGATTCCACATGAAAATGTGGAAAATGTTGAAAGAGAAAGGATTAAATGTCAACAAGTGAAAGCCTAGGTAGAAATGGATTTAAAATATTAGAATAAAGTGTCCTAAGAAAAACTTGAGATTGCATCAGAATTTGAATCTGATGGCAGAGTGATGAAATTAAAATGTATCTATTTATGTTTATCCTTAGAGTTGTCTGTCCACCTGAATGTGCAGATGAGGATTTCAATGTATGGGGAACTTCGATATACCGACAACATTCGTCGGTGTGCCAGGCAGCCATTCATTCAGCCAAAATTACAAATAGTGGAGGACCGGTTGATGTCATCAATAATGGAGAATATTCTCATTTCACTGGAAGTTTTTCGAACAACATTGAATCCAACAGGTAAATTTACAACCATTATTCTGATAAAAATGTACAAAAATGAGATTAAAAATAATTAAATGAATTTTAAATAGTTCTTTTTTAAATTCATGAAGTATTTTGGTATATTGAATCTTGTTAATGTTTACAGTCTTGTTAATTTTCCATATTCCGTACTTAAACGGGTTGTTGTGCAAACTAAAGCAGACTAATTGTTTTATAGCTAAAGATAGACTTTTAATAGTGCTATACCAAAATAACTTTGCTAATTATGAAATTTTGTTATTTCAGTTTTGCAGATCGAGATGAAAGTTTTCGATTCGATAGATTGCAACCACAGCATCGTGTTGGAAACAATAAAGGTAAATAGATGCATTAAAATGAAATACGCAAAGAAAGGTGAATCGAAAAATTATACTTTTTTAATGACATTATTTTGTTCATTGTAAAATGTACTTTCTGATACGCATCTCCTTTAATAGTCACGCACACAATTTTTTAGACATATTTAACATATATGCAATACTACTCTCAATTAGTAATAAATTGCAGTTTTGAGTTATAGTCATTAATTTTTTGAAGAAAAAAGCTGTCTGGGCAAACACTAACTTGGTGAAGTGCTTATTCACAATTTTAACCCAAAGATATTGATTTGGGGTACAATACAGAATATATGGTGGCTAAGACAGAAGTTTACGTTTCAATTAGATAAGTTTTCTAGCATGACATGAGATTTTCCGTCTTGATGGAGGGAAAAATCATAGTTCGGTTTGCAATTTCTAAATATCCCAACAAGATTTTCATATGCACTAGTAAAAATAAGTTGACATTAATGATAGATCATAAGTTATTCCGTTATTTTGACTTGTCCTTATCAGACTTTAGAGGATAAATGAACAAATAATTTTCCTTTTCATATAAAATATCATAATAGTTTACATTATAAATATCCCCGTCGTTATAATTAATACTTTTTTCCACAAGTAATTGTAATCCGAAATTTCGATGTAAAAAAAACAAATCAAAACTGAGCAGGAATATTGCCGCTAAGTTCTGCGTAAGATCATTCATTCTGATTGTATTTTGAATAGGATGATCTGAGCTAAAAAAAAACATATGAATCAACTGGCAAAAAGAGAAAAAGTAATTGAAACGGATCTTGTTAAGTTTTTAATTTGATCATGAAAATATCTTTAATTCTGATCTTAATTTACATATTGTAAACTTTATCAAAATATTATTGATAAAAATATGAATAAATAAATTAAAATACCCATATTTGAAAGTTTTAAGGTTTAATTCTTGTTCATTAGAACTTAGATCATAATAAAAGGGGTCACCTAAGATGGTAACTCAAACAGCCAATGTGTCTCAATACTTATGTCCAAAAGTTAGGAAATAAACTTCTTTTTGCAAAACAACTCAATCAATAGCGAATCAAATCAATCGAAGATTGATAACGATGAGTCACATATTTATAATTAAAAGATATAACAGTGATTACAAAAAACATGTTACAACGAGTTCAAGATCGTAAGTTAATGGGAAGGGCTTTCCAAAAATGATGTTGCACAATGGCACTTATGAAGGGTTTAATATGGAATGACCATCTCCTAATCTCAATACGGATCTCAAAACATCCTCCGTAAAGTCAGTTGTTAGGTTTGGGAGGCTTCTGAAAGGGAAAAAATAAACTTAATTGCTCTACCGAGAGCATCCAACGTGCTCCGAGTTAGCCACGTTTGAAGATCTGGCTAACCATTCCATCCTTTGAATGTCTTTATCTTGTACACTCAACTCGGGAATGTATTATCTTGTATGCTTAATAAACTAAGCTCTGTGAGTACACGCGTTGCTATCCATAAAATTAAACTGGCGACCAACAACGCTTCTGAAAATTTTTACTTTGAGCTTGAAGATCTTAGCCGTATGCTTCAGATAAGTCAAGGTGCTTATAAAAAACATCAGATCGTAAGAGAGCTCGTTTAAACTGGTGCGGACAACACCTATCTTGGACACATGCGCAATGGTTCTCTGCTTTCTTCGCTGATGAGCCTGGATGCAGTCTAAGTAATTATTCTCGGCGAATTCAACAATAGAGAGAACCAGGCAATAATTATTGCCTGAGCCGACATAATGTTGGACGGCTTCACAGACTTGCATATCTTTCAAGGATGCATCCTGATATCGAACTTTTTTGAGGCAAAAGGCTGAGATCTTAGAGCTTTCTGTAAGATTGTCTAGTAGCACCGTTGATCTCTAGTTCACTTTTAAGAATGATAATGCGTATCAACACAGCAATCAAGCCTATAAGCACAGAATTGCTTCCAAATAGATTTTAAGAGCTGAATCCCATAAAAACGTCTAAGATGTTATTGGCAAAGCCATTGTAGCTCATCATTCCTCTCTAAATCCTTCCGAGGTTAATAACTGCCAGCTATTTTTGTTCCGAAACAATTTTTAATTTTGTAACCAGCATAAAAGTCTGTTGCGAAACGTGCATTGCAGGCAAGGAGCCTGCGTTGACTATATAGGAATTTACCTTTCCGTCACAACCCATATTAAATCCTCAACAAGTGACCTTTTGCTATAACATTTCGAACTATCTTACTATGATACCCATCAATTCATGGTCGAGTTCGTGCATTTGTGTTTTTCTGATCATAGTTTTTGAAATTTTTATGAATACTTTTTTTTTATTTTGTGGCATTTTCACATAAAATTTCACTTGATTTGGTACATTTAATCATCACTGGATTAAATTGTCTAAGAAAATGTGTTTGCTCCTTACTTTTAGATATTTGTGTAGTTTCTTATAAACATGGTTGCTTATTGCATCCACAAAAACTCTATTTTTAGTGTTAATAGAATTTTTGGTTAAAATCTTACTAAAAATATAAGTTTCTTTTTTCCTTCGAAAAGTCTTTAAACACATGTTTGTATTTTTTTTAAAAATGGCAGAATGCGATAAAGGATTGGTGAAGTTGGATCAAAAGTGTGCTTACATATCCAACAATCTTCGAACTAGACAGGAAGCAGAAGCAGTTTGCACCAACATGGGGTTGTCTCTCGAGTTACCCTCTTCATCCCAAGACAGACTCAGACTGGTTACTGAACTCAACATAAGAGGTAGTACCCACTCACAATTTCTCTGTTTTTAAGTTAAATATGAAAAACATGATGAAATTGATATTGAAGTATTGAAGAGGAAAAAAGACAGAATGTTTTATTTGACAGCTAATAATCGGTATAAAATTAAAATTACGAATCAATAAAGTAAAAAAGAGTTATATAAAGTGGCGCAAATTATTATTTAAGTGAAAAAATGTTTCCTAACTTTAACCAATCACTATTGCGGTTCATTAGAGCAAAAAGAGATTAAACATTCTAAGATCAGTTCTTGTGAAGATAAAATATCATATTTTTATTATAAGTTTAATAGTTAACAATTCTTGTTCTAATAATCGTATGCAAGAATTTTTGTAATCCATCGCAATTTCTGTACATTTTTTTATGCTTTAATATTTTCAAGTTTTTAAGTGCTATAGATTTTGCGCAGCAAAAAGAACAAAAAAATGCAACGTAAAGGTGAACACCCTAAAACCGAGGCAGTGGCTCTTTTAATTTTTTAATATAGCGAGATTCCTAATTGGCGATCAGAATGGACTACATTGGCGCATAGAACTCCTTACTTATAGCAATATTAGGCACGCTTTCACCATAAGCAAGTGGATAGTCATATCATAGGAGTCGGAAGTGCGTTGGTTTCTTTCTTGATTTTCAAACCGGCTAAATATTTTTAAGCTTGAAAACTATATGACGCTCAAAACTGCATTAAACATAGCGCTTAATTTAAGTATCATGGAAATTTCATGATATATTTTTGACAATCTAAATACATAAAATATTATGGAATACATCGTAATATATTCCCATACATATGAGCAGAGAAAGAGGTGGAAGGAGGGAAGTTCTAGTTATGAAACCTGTTTTCTTCCCAGAATTCGAGTGTTACAGTGTTACCAGAATTCGAGAACTGGAAACGCTGAATAAGAAATATGCATATACTCTGGTATTATCATCCATACTTAGAATTTAATTTTTCTGTGTATTAAATTGAAAATTTGATTTTTTTTTATAGACATTGACTTCATCTGGATTGGAAAAAATGAGACTTTGGCAGATTCTGATGCAGCAGATAGTACTTATGACCATAACAATAACAGTCCCTTCTGCCCGGGTGCTTCTGTTTCTCATTTGACTTTAAAGAAATCGAGGAAAGGTTGTGAGGATCCCTCGAATTTCATTTGCATTCAGAAATCACAAGCTTCTTCTTTAGGTATTGTAAAATAATTCTTTTTTTATCAGTTTTTAAACTATTAATGTTTTTATATTATAATACAAAAAAACAAAAAAAAAAGAACTAGTGAATAGTCAACAAAAATTAATTTGGAAAGATAAAGTATTGTGTTACCATTTTTTGTTAGTTCACTAGCATCAATAACACCTATTGTTTTTCCAGCTGTGTGTAAAGATCCAGGATCCTTAGAGAATGGCGCTTCTAAACCTGTTGGACAAATAGACGGCGTTTATTATGTGGGATCCTCCATTGAATTCGCATGTCAATCTCTACATTATCTGAAAGGTGAGGAGAGTATATCTTGTACAACTAGTGGAAGTTGGTCACACACCAAACCAGTTTGCATTAAGGGTGAGTATCTAGTGTTACATTATATTATATATATTGTTCAGTATTAAGTTTTACTTCTAGCCGTTATTACGTATCCTACCGCGGAATCTCTTTTAATCATCAATTAAAGCACTTTCTTTCCACTTTCTTTCAATTTTACCAACACTTTCTTTCAATTTTTGTCTCTTTCAGTAAATGCATGTGAAGATCCACCCATTCCGATTGGTGGATTCGTAACATATTTGCCACCTTTGAAGTCTCCCGCCGCCCAAAGAGCAGCTGTAAACAACAGAGGAACTATTCAAGGAATGAGGTAAGCAACATAAGATTGCTATTAATTGCACTGTGTAAGTTTTAATTAGCTTACAATATCTTAATATACTGGGAATATCTAAAAGAATCAGCTTAAAAAATCCTGTCCTTGAAACCTTCAGAAATTAAATAATTAATTAGAAAAGTGGTACTTAAGATATATCGTGTCAATGATTGCTTTAAGATCAATTTTATTAATATATTAGATTTTAGTAACATTTATCAAAGCTTTATACTGTTCTTGCAAAAATTGGAGTTAAAAAAAAGTACAATATTAATAGAAAAATAATATTAAGAGGAGAAGAAAATAGCGCTTGCCAAACTATGACCAATCATTATTGTAATTGAAAAGTGAAAATGCATCGAAAACCCATTTAGTATTTATCCAGTACTACCGAAAAATGTGTCTGTTTTTTTCGCCTTCTCCTTTGAACTTATTTAAATATTTTTTTTGCATTGTTTATTGCTTTATTGATTACTTACATTTGTAGGCTTGTGGGCTCAATTTAGGCTTATAAGCCTTTGTCAAGATGAAGGACGGATAAAACAATTCAGAGAAAGACATCACGAAGAATACATCCTGGGATACGGCAGGATTCGAACCCGCCACCTCCACGCTTCGCACAGCGTTTGGCGGGTGATGCCGCTCGGCCAGGGAGGCCCCGTTACTTTGTAGCCGGTATCGAGCATACAGCTTTTTTGTTGTTGCTAGAATTATTAAAAATATATTTTGGGTGGGTCATTACGAAACATCCTTTTTATTTTAGCCCTCTTCTTTACTTTCTAACTCTGAAAAAAGAAAAGAAAAGCTAATGCACTTTTTATTGTATTGAGTATCGTTAGTGTGTTTACTGCTACAGTGCACTCAGTACATTGCCTCAATAAATTTGCAATAAAAATATTTTTTAGCAATACTCTTCATTTAGTCTATTCATTTTTCATAGAGTTGGAAGATTGCCGGTGGGACTATCTGGTCATTCTGGAGCTCCTCAAAATGCCATCGGCATCACAACTACTCCAGAACCTGAAACTATATCCTTACCACCCGGACTTCACAGGATTGGAGAAAGAGCAATGTATGATTGTGAATCTAGGTACTACAAGCTCATTGGGTCCAGAACCAGAAGATGCCAAGGAGCAGGTGAATGGAGTGGAAGGCCACCAACTTGCATACCAGGTTCGAACAACTTAATTTTACTGGTTTTAAATGTTAAACAGATAATATGTGATCCACAACAGGAAGATTAATCTAAGATTTTCTTCAAAAATGTATTTGATAATAAACCTGGAAATATTTTAAATATTTTTATACTAAGACTAAAATGTAACCTGTAACGCCTTTAACCTGTTTATATATCTCGATTATATTTTATTTTAAAAAGTTAATAAAGTGAACTTAAATAAAAGATAACAATACAGAACATGTGTAAAGTTCACAGTAATGATGAAATATGCTACTTTCGGACCAAAACAGCTTACCATCCCTCTGCATTTCTTGCTGGGATGGGATGACACTCATAATTTATTGTATAGTGGTCCCAGTTGAATTTTAGTAGTCTCAGGTTAACGGGTCACCGTTAATTTAGTGCTCTGTAGGATATGTTATTTTCTGTGTTGAAAATTGAGTTTTTCATGATATTGAAAGAAAAAAATATATAAATATTATCGAAATCTGACCAATCAATATGAATACAGTAGATGTAGAATTAAAATAATCAAATCCAATATATTTTTTTATTACCAATCTTTATTCTACAAGTTATCTATTTACTCTACTGATTATTTTTAATGCTCATGCTATGTCTATTTACCCCTATATACAAGGTAGGTAGGCTCAGTTGAAACAATTTTGCAATATATATATATATATATATTGCAATATATTTGACAATGGGTCCTTTACAAAATAGGCTAAACTTTTACTCACTTACAAACTAATTTCGGCATTAAAGACTCCAGAGGGATTAGGAGAATTAGAGATTCAGCTATATANATTCATCATTAAATTTTAAGTGGTTTCATTCATCTCTAGTTTATAACCAAGTGTGTTCAACTAGCCGCAATTCATATTTGATGTTATTGTTATGGAATAAAACTGAAAAAATCAAAGAATAAAAACTGGTATAGTCCCTCCTGCCTCTATAGTTTTTACAGCCATCATAAAGGTGTTTAAAGTACTGGTTTAGGATCATAGAAAGATTAAATTGGAAAACTTTGATGGCCTTATTTACATGCATTAATGCTACTGAAGTGTCATTACAAAAAACTGGGGTTCAATACCCATTAGCAACCTGAAGCCCATCCGGATTCATATCGATAAATATCAGATTTCCTGGGCTCTCATTGAGCTGTACTGACCACATTGTCACAATCATGTCATTGGTTACGAAATCTTAAAGCTTTAACCTCCATGTCCTTAATCGCCTACAACAAGCAGCCGCAGAAGTACTTTACTCGCCTTAGAATTATTATGCAATTAGTATTTGCAACATTTCCGTTGCAGTTTAGCAATTGGTTTTTTTCCAGATTATTTTCGTGTTTCATAATTTAGCAAAAATTCCGTGAAATTTTGTAGTCTAACTTTTGAACGTCTCTTTGTGATTTCATTTTCCTCATTTCATTTCAGTCTGCGGACGATCGGATTCTCCACGATCCCCCTTTATCGTTAATGGAAATGCATCCGATATAGGGCAGTGGCCATGGCAGGTTGGCATAGCACGCCATTTGCCTGATTTAGGACAATGGTTTCTTTTGTGCGGGGCTTCTCTACTTTCCGAACGATGGGTGATAACTGCAGCTCATTGTGTCACCTATGCAGGAACAACGCTTGTAATAGAACCGAACAGATTCCAACTTTATTTTGGAAAATACCATAGACAGGATACTAAAGATGACGAATACGTTCAAGTGAGAAAGGTAAGATGTTATGGACTCAAAACTTATATATAAGAACATCTTAATAGTTCGAGATTCAAATATATACTTTCTGAAAGTGGCAGATCTTTATTATAACATAATACATTTCAGTCAGTGACATTTCTTTTCATGGGATTTCGGTTTTTGCCATATCGCATTTCGTTCCCGTTACTAATTAGATTCATCTATTTTGACAAAGAAAAACATTTCTTGTTGTTCAGTAACGGTTGTGCTTTAATTGATATTCTCATTATAAGGACTTATTTGGTGTACAAATTAGTTCAGTCCGTTTTCTTGTGGTCAAAAATGCATTTACTTCAGAACAAAATGAATTAACAGATTAATAAAAATATTGTCGATCTCTGGCTACTACTTTTTCCCACCTCTCAGGCAATTTTTGAATTCCATCTCGAAAACATGTCTCGTCTTTTGAGGCGATCCAAGTTAGGAGCCAATTTTCGATTTCTGCGAAGGAAGTGAACTGGTGACCTGCCAAATTGTGCTGCATCCGTCGAGATAACCACTAATCAGGAGGAGCAATGTCCAGCGAATACAGCGGGTGCGGTAAAATATCCCACTTGAGCGTTTCCAAATAATTTTTACGATTTTTGAGACATCAGACCGACCGTTATTATGCAGAAGAATAACTTTGTCCTGTCTTTGCTAGTATTCCGGCCGTTTTTCTCGTAATGCACGGCTCAAACGAATCAATTGCAGCCTATACCGATCGCCCGTAATGGAATCACCAGATTGTAGTAGCTCATAGTATACAAAACTATTCACCATTCTTGAAACGTCGAAACGATTCCCTACATGATTTATCAGTTGGAACATTGTCACCATAAAATTCTACCAGCATTCGATGCTCTTCAGCTGCACTTTTCTTACGATTAAAGCAGAAGCATAAAACCTCCCGCAAATGGTGCTTCGTTACCACAAAACTTGACATACTCACCAAAGTAAAGAACGGGGTTTTTGTATGAAACTGAAAGCGATATAAACTGAATCTTATTGACAGATGTTTAACCTCTCTGAAACCACCGAAACCAGCAGTTGTCACTATATAACATTCGTAACAGCAGAGCCATCTTTTAAAAACGGACCGAACTAATTTGTACTCCCAATATATTCCCATTATAGGGGACCGATGTTCCCGTTTTAATGACTAATGCCTCTACTTTGACCTGAATAATAAATTGAGTCAGAATGACAAAATATTTAGAATATTTTTCACGAATTTAAGGTGTATGACGTCATTTTAACTCACCTTATAGCTGAAATTTTTTTATCGTCAGCTCGGAGAAAAGATTTTCTTATGTTTAAGTACCTTGTTCTATTAAATTAAGAAAAAATAGTTCAATGGTAATTGAAGTAATAACATAACTCAAATAATTGAAAAAAATAATGCTGTAGTTGTTTTTTCTCAAATAAGCAAAGCGTTACATCAATTGCGGGAAGATTTTATTGCTTGTGTTTTCATGCAGATCTTATGGCAATAAAGCTTACAGAGCATGTCAATACATCTTTTTTCAGATCGAGGAAATTCACATTCATCCAGATTATGATCCTGGATTAATGGATGCTGATATAGCATTAATACAAGTGGACTCACCCGTGCAGCTGAATAGCAGAGTTCAACCTGTCTGTTTACCCACTGAACAAACCACTAGAGAAAACTTGGTTGAAGGAAAAAAAGGAGTGGTAAGTTTAATTTTTATTTCACGATTTAGATCAAAATTTCCTTTTCTTTTCCTCCACTCTCAATGTAAAGGATGAAAAAGCTGAGAAAACAGCCTACAGAGATACTTTACAGACAATTTGAAGCGAGAAATTTATGTCCTGTCTGAGATCCGCCTGAGGTACCATCCGCACTGTATCCGATTGCTCTGGAAAAGAGTGCAAATCTTTAGAAATTATATGTAAAGGAGCATTCACACAGCATTTGATTTCCCAAAACGAACCTGCAGAAGTGGCACAGTTGGAAGAGTTAAAAATTTTGGAAATGCTCAGAAACTACATGCAAAAGACCATTCGCATTGCATCCGATTGCCATAGATGAACGCGCAGATGTTCAGAAATTATATTTAAGAAGTTTAATGTGAATTAAGAGTTGGCTTCTCTAAAGAATTTTGCCCTCAGTTAATTTTTTTTAAAGAAAATATATTGAATATCAACAGAGTCAAACTATGCAAACTAACTTTGTGAAACAACACAAAATAAAAGATTTATGTTTCAAATATAAAAGATTTATATTCCTTGCGAAACGAAACATGACGAAAAAAATTGGTACTTCACAAACTATTGTTAATAGTTTGAGAGCCTATCGCGCTCGTACTAAAATGCAAAACTTCCAGATCGACACAGATTAAGATAATCGTTACATTTTAGTTGACAGATGGTGTCATCACAGTTTAAAATTTGATAGAATAATTATGAGTTTTAATTTTCTCCATCAGGTGACTGGACGGAGACATATAGCAAATGTTATGTCTAAAATTTGATAGAATAATTATGTGTTTTGCTTTTCTCCATCAGGTGACTGGATGGGGCATGAATGAAAATTCCACATACTCTGAAACTTTGCAGCAAGCAGTTTTGCCTGTCGTTTCTCAATCCGTGTGTGAGAAAGGGTACGAAGATTCTGACTTGCCCTTGACGGTGACGGAGAACATGTATTGCGCAGGATTTGCCAGAGGTCGATCAGATGCTTGCAGTGGTGACAGTGGCGGACCTATGGTTTTCACAGATGATTCCTCACGAGAAAGAAAATGGGTATTGGAAGGGATTGTCAGCTGGGGTAGTCCACAAGGATGCGGAAATCCCAACCAGTATGGCGGTTTCACAACTGTTAGTCAATTCTTGGATTGGATTCACCTTTTTTACTAACAAAAAGCACAAGAAATGTGATCACATTAACCACGGAATTCATTATATTCTTACTGTTTGGTGATAAATGGAATATTCAAATCATATGTAACCATTTCTCCATACCTTTCACCCACAAAATGCATAATTGTACTAATATATGTGTAATTTGGATGACATCAAATAAAAAAAATTATTTTTTATATAAGGTAACCTTTCTTAATCACAATGAAATTCATTGAAACCTGCGCTTCATTAATTAAAAAGAATTTTTTCAAGCAAAATTTTGGACTTTTGTACCAAATGTAATCAATTTCTAAACTATTATTAACAATAATAAATTAGTTTAACATATGTTCCAGTAACCTATGTTCCTATGAATTAGTTTAACCTTTATGCTTTTGAAATTCTTTCTTATATATCTCAGTCTTATATATCTCTATCTTATATATTTTATTCCCTTTACTTTCAATTTGAAAAGGATTTTATTTTAAAACTCATTGAAACATTTCTTTAAAATTTTATTCCATGTGTGTTGAAGAGGCTGAACTCTTAACTTACCAATTTGTATATGCCCTACATCTTTAGTAAAAGTATTTGTTAAAGTTTACTTTTGTAATGTATTTGCGGGGAAATCGATAAAGTTTAACAAATGTGTTTGCAGTTTTATAATTTTTTTTAAATAAAAATTTTTTTACGGACATTTTTATAAAGTACACGAGTTACATCACATGAGTTTAATTACATGAGTGTAAATTTCCCTAATGAGATTTGGAGTACATTACATTTAAGTTCATTTATAGTAGATAAGTTCTGTGACAAAGAACTGGTGAGGCTCGCTTCGAATTCTCAATACTGTCAGTGAATAACATGTAAAGAGTTGAAAAGTTTAATTTATTTAAATGCCAGAGGGTGGAAAGACCCCCCTACACTTTTTTTAAATGTAAACAAAAGATTTAGAGTTAAATAAAACGTTTTAATAACGATCATTTACTTATAAAACAAAAGTATTATATAATACTGTTCTTATTATATATTTAACACTAAATTTTTACCTGAACTAGAAAAAATGAGAATCCAATTGATGCAATTTAGGAAGACTGTTCGACAGATGAAGTCCTTCAATTTCTGAAAATTATGATTGGAAATTGGAATATATTATAATTCGTTAAGTTTAATTTGTAGTAGTGCTGCCATTTATTTCTCTGCAGAATTATTTTAAATGTTAGAAATAACATTTTTACCAAATAAATACTTATCACGTCATACAAAAAATGTGAACTGCAATTCTTCGATCGAGTGAATGTGTACAACTTCTAAGTTGAAAAACCCCGAGTCTACTCCACGGCCTCCCCCCCTTTTACAGAACTCGACCATTGTTCATTTTTAGTACAATTTTAAACTCAGTAATCAACTTTATATGTTCTGTTCTGATAAAATTAAAGATCTCCACTATTCGTTGTTGTTGTTACTAATGTCACTTGACAATATCAGCAAGCCCGCTACGCGAAATCCTGCGATTTTAAACCAGAGGGTGCATTTCTTGTTTTTCAGTAGCGCCATAGAAATCGATTTTAGACAAACACATTAATTTTTATTATAAATGTATGAAATGTATTAAATTACTATATTACTAATTTAATAAGTCGAACAGATTTTTTTAACCTCAGGGACTTCTCCAATTACTCGCTAACACCAGAAACTGCCGATGCAGTTCAATTTATATCACTTAGCTAATTCCTGTAATGCCTCAAGTTTATTTATAAACAATGAAATGTAGTACAATAAATTTCATAGCTGATTTTAATTAATTTTTTATACCTGCTTTGCATTGTTCGCCAATTCTCGGAACTGCTTGTTCAGTTCTATCCAGATAACTTGCGCCTTTTATCTGTATCATCCGTAGCAGGACGGAGTACCAATAAATTGACAAAAAAAAAAAAAATTGTTCTAATGGATTGATATTCTCTCGTAAACGAACACAATTTTACAGTTTGATTAAAACAAATTTAATTAGAGATTTAATAAAAGTTAGGCATATTGTCCATCTACAAATATAAGACAGGAGTTAGGTATTTACAAAAGATCATATTTAAAAAAGTTACATAACTGCTGCTGGTTTTCCAAAATTAAATTCCGCGGTGCAGTTAAAAACTTCATTTATAAGTATTCGAAAAAAATTAGGACGGTAACAATAATATTTTGATATCAGAGTATTTCCTTAGAAAGATACAAAATTTTCTAATGTTTAACCTAATGGTTTTGAAGTTGTGCGACTTGTGATTTTTTTTAAAAAAAATTTTGGAGGCTGTGGCGACAGTTGCTTAAAATAGTTAAAATTATAGAGAGATACATTCAATCAATTTCCTCCATTTTATCTTTGAGATTGTCTAATCTGAAAAAGCCTTTTTTCTTTCGACACATTTTAACTGTTAAATGTTGTTGTTTTCGCGTATGATATGATACTCGTCTTTCACAAACATACATGTATAAAAATATGTAAATTTTTTTCTTTTCGAGTGTAAATAGAGAACTTTTAAAAATTAACTTAAACTCAGGATTTCCATGAAAATCACTTAGTAACATTATAAGAAGTCAAGATGGTTGTGTGGTTAAGGCTCTCGTTGAAAAGAGCTGGATTTCGATCTTACTTGCAATAAGCTTAGATTGCTATATTGTAAGAGTTTGTCAATATATCTTCAAAATTAATTAACCAAATATAAAAAGTTGAGAACCCACCTATGGAACACTCTTACCTAAAGGAAAATAATTCAAAAAATAATGTCTTATAATTACAACAACAAAAAAATTATCATTTAATTTAAAATTTTATCATTTAATCATTTAAAATTTTGAACTATAAAGTTTTGCAACATCTATATTTCTTAAAAAAAAATGCACTAGTTACTTGAAAAATACAAAATTTAAACATTGTTGAATAATTCAGGAAATATATATTACAAATGAAAAATGATTTATATAAATTTTTATTTCTCATCATTCCCGAAATTCATATCAGTTGGAAAAAAAACGTTTCCTCGAAATTTTAATGCTAACCTTACCTGCATTTATTGTTTACGGCGGAAGTTTAGTGGAATTGTAGAGAATGGTACCCTGTAAAACAGAGGTGTCAAACTCAATTTTGCAGAGGGCCATATATTAAATTTAGAACGTGTAGGCGGGCCAGATTCAAATAAAAAAATGTACTGAACTATTATAACATTTTATTTATCTAATTTTATGGTATATAATATACGGTTGTTAAAAATCATATCAAAGTTATAAAAGATGGTAATTATTTTGAACTCGAGAATCCAGATACCTGACTTCTCTTGTTTTCAGAATGCGTGTTGCATGCTTTTTTAATTCCGGGTAGTTATCCAAACTCTTGAAATATTGTCTATAAAATGTAACAGCGTTAACCTCTTTAAATTTCTCTTTCAAAATACTTTCCGATTGAAGATTTATCAACTCCATTTGCAAATGAACTGGTGCCTGTGAAGCTTCAAAATTGAATGGATTGTTGAAAATTGGGAATTCCGTTTCATTCATTTTGTGGAAGTCTTCAAAACGATTGTTGAATTCCGTGATCAGATTTTGCAGAAGTTGTGAATACTGATCCAATTTCTTCGGTTCACTGTGCCAAATGATTTTAAATGAGGGAAATGATCCAAAGTTTGATTTTTTACCTGATTTTTCCCACAGCCTCAACTTTGTTTCAAAGGCTTGAATACATGAATACATTTGAGTGACAATCAGATTTTTACCCTGTAACTTTACATTCAGATCAGTCAAGTGTTAATTCATATCTACCAAAAAGACACAATCAATCCATCAGTCATTGTCATAATTAATTGGGTTGTCTTTTTCTTACATGAAAGCTTGAATAGGGTCACGTAATGCAAAAAATCTATCTAAAATTACTCCTCGACTGAGCCAACGACCTTCAGGGAAATAAGGGACATCAGAAAAATTTTCGTCCAAATCTTGTAAAAACTGCCTGAACTGTCGGTGATTTAGTCCTCTGCTCCTTATAAAATTTGCTATTTTAATTATAGGTAGCATAACATGGTCCATTTTTAAATGATTGGATGCCAATGATTCCTGGTGAATTATACAGGGAAATCCCACAAAATTTCCTGATGTTTTCTGTTTTAATTTAGTTACAACGCCCGAATGATTACCAGCCATGACAGGAGCGCGTAGTTGTGCTGCTAAGTATATTCCAGTCGAAGATTCCGCTTGTTGCTAAGAAATGGCGTTACTGTCTATCTCTCTCGCTTGTCTAGGCACGCGCTGCCCTTGAAATTAATTATAAATGTAGTGTGCAAATTTTAAAACTTCCGTAGAGGAATCGAGTGAAGTCTAAAAGCTCTAAAAAACACGATTCTTCTTTCTGTGACATATCGCGATCGCGGGCCGTATTGATACGAACCGGGAGCCGGATGCGGCCCGCGGGCCGGATCTTTGACATGACTGCTGTAAAACATTCCGCATCAAATTACGGTAAATTAACGGTACTCAGGTTGTCGGTACGTGTCATCATAAAATTCATTTTTAACAGAATATATTACGGAAATAAAATCGTATATACCATACATTTTATAGTAATATTTACATTGAATTCACTGAATTACACTAATTAAAAAAATATTACTGTAAAAATTACTTTATAATATTGTACTGTAAAAATGAATTTAACGGTAAAATGGATTTTAAGGATTATACACCGAAAGCGATGGTATCTTATTCCGTAATTTAATACGGAATTTTTTATAATGCCGGAAAGTGTAGAGAGTTTATGCAGTAAAAAATTAACAATTTTTTTTTACAATGCAGAGGCCTTATCTTGTAATTGGGGATTATAAATTTGAAACCGTGAACAATTTTAAATACTTGGGATCTGAAGTCAATAGTCTTAACAACATCCTGCCTGAGAGCATGAATCACAGCAGCTAATCGATGTTTTTTCGGTCTTAAAAAGTATCTGAAATCTAACTTCATCAGCAGAAAAACAAAGATTCTGATATACAAAAGTTTGATGAGACCCATTCTTACTTTCTCTGCTGAGACTTGGATAATGACAGAAAAAGTAAAGCACATTATTTCTGTGTTTGAAAGAAAAATTTTAAGAAGCATATTTGGTGGCCTTAAATGTAACAATATCTGGAGAAGAAGAACTAACTCCCAACTTTACATACTA